CATGGTACTGAAGGCTAATCTTTTAATAAAGCGCTTTGCTTACATTCAAAGCTATAGTAGTGGAAACTTTTTTGAATATCTGAAATGACAGAATATTGTCATATTTACGTAGAGATGATGCATTGTGTAATGTCACTAATGATTTTTTAAATTTTCTATTAAGTTACAGCTGTAAAGGATTGATGGAATGCTGAACTCCAGAGAATGAGACATGTAGAAAAAAGGGAAGTCCCAAGCAAAAGGAAAAACAAACTTGCAAGAAAGAAAGAGCAAAATAGCCACAGAAAAAGAGAAAAAAAGAGTAAGACAGGAAGAAGACAGAGAAGGAGGAGGAGGAAGAGGAGGAGAAGAAGAAAAGGGGAATGAGGAGGAGAATAAGAATGAGAAGATAACGTAGAAGAAGTAGTAGAAGAAGAAGAAGTTTAAGAAAGCTAGCGGGAGAACATGAAATACGAGAAGATGTCTTCAAAATAATAATGGATCCTATCTGTAGGCCTACTAACGCAAATTGTATAGAAAATATAGACTTGGCGGTGATTCGTGCATGCTCAAGGCTGGAATGAACTAGATTCTCTTTGACCTACATACTACACTGTTGCCCCTAAAGTTGGACTGTTTTCTTACCTCTCTTCATGAAACGATTGTCACAAATTCCTGATAAATAAAGTTGATAATACCTTCTCAGAACTTTATTGGTCAATATAACTCTGCAGATTGATCCTTAAAGTTCTGATAATACATAAAAAGGCCATTTTGTCACAATCATTTCACGAGAAGAATTTAGAAGAGAGAAAAAAAATCCCACTTTATTGTAACTTTGGGTGCACTTCTCACTTCTGCTGAACGATAATAATAGGCGTACCGAGTAGAGTAATGTCCAAGCTCTAAACACTTTCTGAATGTAAATACATTCTCTTCGTAACATTACAAAAATACACAAAGTGTTGAAAAATGGAGAAGAAGAAGTCAAATGCATTGGGTGATAGAGAGAGAAAAGAGAGAGAGAGAGAGAGAAAGAGAGAGAGAGAGAGAGAGAGAGAGAGAGAGAGAGAGAGAGAGACCGGGGGGGGGGGTATTCTTTTGTTATTCCGAGGCGAAACTTAGCACCGACCTTAACACCAGTAACTGGGGACGCACACAAAAAGCGTCGGGACGCTCTGGCTGTGCAATGTCGTCATAGCAACATGCACTTTGCTTTCTTCTTCTTCCGTGTACAGTTCAGTTTGAGTGCATTTGATCACGTGATGGTTCGATGCACCATGGTAACAATGCTTCCATCACGAATAATTTGCATTTTTAAGCGGAAATGTACATTCATAAAGAAATAGATATTCTTTTAAAGAAAGTCAAAGTGTTTAATTTATTATAAATTATATGCAACAAGGGCAATAAACTGGGATACGAATATTCTTTCAATGTAATATATAACGACATATTATGATATATGTATTAATATATTGATTATTAAAAAACAAACATATTCCCCCTGTCACAGTGTTTACAAAAGTAGAAAAGATCGACGTTTTTGCAACAGCGTTGGCTTGGGATACTTTTAATGTACATTTCTATGTACTGGACTGGACTCAAAGGCAGAAATTGTGTAGATTACCTTTCACAAACCGGCTTTCAAATGCGAGTTCGGTGTTTTTTTAATGTGCTCCGCAAGAGTCGCGTTCCCAGTAAAACAATTTGTATTTCTATTGCCTCTTGTATTTCTATCTTCTTTGTGGTACTTTCCACAAAAACCTATTACATAATTGAATCCCAAATTTCATAAAACTTTCACCGGGTCTGGATATACAGAACATACTGTGGTCACTCCATCGAGGCTGAAAGAGCTACTGTATTATTTTATTCGCCAATCATTCCTCGGTGCGGTGGTTTTCCAGAAATAGTTTTGTTTTCAGTATAACTCTTTTATACAAACATGGACCGACCGCGAGCTGGAAAAAGTACTCATTATTTTATTCATATTTTATAGTTCTGTGCCGGTCATCCCTTCCAAGAAAAGAAGGAGAATAAGAAGAAAAGAAAGAAAAGAAAGAAGAAGAAGTAAAAGAAGAAGAAGAAGAAGAAGAAGAAGAAGAAGAAGAAGAAGAAGAAGAGAAGAAGGAGGAGGGGGAGAAAAAAGAATTAAACACCATTTGAGGTTGGAATTTCGTTTAGTTTCATTTGTTCGATTCGACTAACTGCATAAATAATTAAAGCTGACTCGGATACGTTTCAATACATTTCAATAGGGACTGGCAGATAGAATACGGAGAAAAGGAGGGATTGTAAAAAGAAATTCACGGGTGGTTTATACACAAGAAGAAAAAGAAGAAGGAGAAGAAGAAGAAGTAGGAGAAGAAGAAGGAAAACAGAGAGAGGGAGAGAGAGACGGGGTATATACTTCAAAGCAAACTGATTATAACTGCAAACGCCCCTCAACTACTTGACGAGACGGAGCGTGGCTATATAGAGAGATAGGGCACTTCAAGTTAACAAAAATGTCTATTTAGCTCAAAATACAGTATATAATTTAATTCAATTCAAATTTTATTGATTAAAATCCAAACAAAAAGGATTATTCTTATTGTTTTTTATAACATTGGATAACAAATTTCAAAATTATAGTGTAAGTTAGATTGAGTGCAAAAGTAAAGATTACAATAACCAGGTATGACAAAAATTAACGTACTATTGCATGTCTCTTAATGTAATACAGGGATGAAAATATATTAAATTACTATATAACAAGTGAAACAATGATAGTTATGATGGTTTAAGAATTTATACTATCATGTGGTATGGGCCATTCATTTATTGTTGATCAACACAAGAAACACTCGTGATCACCTATATTGGGTTGATAAAGTAATATCTTGATAGTGAATTTATAATGAGAATTTCGCAAAATAAGTTATAATGATGATTATATAAATAAGCTTTAAAGGCTTTTCACTAGGCAATTCCATCGCTTTGTGGAAAAGATTTAGTGGTGCCGGGATTTACAAACTTCTTTTCTTGGACAAAAAGTTAAAAATCCTTACCCAGCAATACACGTTGTGTGCAATTAAATTCTAGGATAAAGACCTCCCTATCAATAACATAAACACGCTCAACTTTGTCAGTGAGCCTAAATGAGAAAAACCCATATAATAATATTCTTTGTTATGATATAATAATTTTATTGAAATCAATAATTAAATAAAATTTCTCTGTCAGTAGAGATACATCTTCCATTTTTCACAAATCCATGAAACGTTCATGATCCTCATTCTGACCGTACATTCGAATATGATGGGCAGATGGGGGAACTTATCATGATAAGCTGAGACATGATACTATTTATAGCGTTTAAATTGCATAATATTCATGGTGATCTGCCAATATGATTTCATATAAACTTATCCTTACTTTACTGGCTTTGTATCACAATTCTACGGGCCTGAAATTCGGATGAAAAATGTTAGGTCAGCTTTGATGCACGCAGATACCATTCACATTTTCTCATAAAATTCACTATTAAGTAGGTAAAAGAAGTTAAACTTATTTTTTTTTAAACTTTAGGCCGGATCATTTTTTCTTTTTTTCTTCTTTTTCTTAATGTGCTGTGATTATGTTGAAAATAATTTATTCACTTTCATTTGCAATTATCAAATCTATAAGGGCTATTGAAGGGTTGATGCTCTCAATCGATACTCATAATAGCTTCGACCATACATGAATACACTATGTCTAAATTTGTTTGCGGGCTTTTTAGTGACTTGCCAATATGCCTAAACGAGTTCAATTTCATTGTCCAAAGTCGTAATAATTATTTTACAAATGATGAAGATACATGATATTGATGCAAATTTAAATAAGATAAGGGTATGGGACCTTTAGCTCAATTACAAATTGATTTGTTTATAATTATTTATATGTGTCATTGACTATAAATCACATCGTCATTGACTGAATTGTTGAGCGACGACAGACGCTACGCTCAACTATGAGGTTCTAGTACTTTTCCACGGAGAAACAACACAAAATATCAAGTAATTATTCATTATGACTGAACGTTGAGACCAGAAATCTGAAATTAAATGAAACTAAGTGAATGAAAACACATGACAAAATCTAAATAAAAATAAAAATAAAAATCTAGCAATTCTATAGATATTATGTTTGCTCTAAAATCGGAATAGGTTTCGAGGGAAGGTGGCTGCCGAAAATAAACACGTCACCCTATGCCATCAGCCTACCTTTGCTATTACTTATTTACTTTTTCTCTGATAACTTAAGTCAGTTAAATAAAAAATCATTTTTTGCTATGTCAATCTATTAATCACAACATTTTCTTTCAAGTGAATGTCATGATTTTTCTTGAAAAGTGATATTTTGTTTGAAAAATAGATATTTGTACGATAATTTTCATGGCAAATTCGGCAAAGAGGCGTAACGCTACGGTCAAGAGGCGGCGAATCTTGCGAAGGCTCTGTGTTGTAAGCTATTTTTTCATCGAATCGCATAGTAATAAAAAGTTTTCAAAACAACTAAATAGCTATATGAAACTGAAGATGGATATTTTTTCTATATATTCGTATATCTAAATTTTCGGAAAAACGTTTTTTAATATAAGATATTGGCGTTTATTTTCGGATTTTAAAGTGCATTTGTCAAAGTGTAAGTTTCGTGGTAAATTTCTCTATGATGAAATAATTATGTATGACTTTTAAGGTGCCAAATGGAAGATTGAAAGCTCCTCTTTGATTTGAGGGTATTTTCACTAGTTCTGCTTTAGCCAACAAAAGAGAAAAACAATATTTTCCAACACCTTACTAACACATTTAAAAACACGATTGCCAAAATACACGCTACGTGCACAAAACAAGCGGGCTGTACACGTCCTACGGGCGACCTCACCGTACCGTTTTCCCCCACGTCCGCAAGAACGTTATGTATAACCGTGAAGCCGCGGAAATCAAACATTACGATTTTTGTTGAACTCTGTAATAGACCAACCAAACTACATCATGTCTGCCGCTAAGCCTAAGGTCGCCAAGAAGGCCCGTGTTGCACCAGCACACCCACCTTCCTCCCAGATGGTGGTCGCTGCCGTCACCGCCCTGAAGGAGAGAGGTGGTTCATCCACCCAGGCCATCAAGAAGTACATCGCTGCCAACTACACCGTTGACATGACCAAGCAGGGTCCTTTCATCAGGCGTGCACTCGTCAAGGGAGTCGCCAGCGGTGCCCTCGTCCAGACCAAAGGAAAGGGAGCCAGCGGTTCTTTCAAGCTCGGAAAGAAGAAGGAAGGCAAATCCGATGCCCAGAAGGCCCGCATTGCCGCAAAGAAGGCTAAGCTCGCCGCCAAGAAGAAGGAGCAGAGGGAGAAGAAGGCTCTGAAGACCAAGGCCAGGAAGGAGAAGGTCGCCGCCAAGAAGGCAGCAAAGAAGGCTACCAAGAAGACCAAGAAGGTCAAGAAGCCCGCCGCCAAGAAGGCCAAGAAGCCTGCTGCCAAGAAGCCAGCTGCCAAGAAGCCTGCAGCCAAGAAGGCCAAGAAGCCCGCCAAGAAGGTAGCCAAGCCAGCAAAGAAGGCCGCCGCCAAGCCAGCAAAGAAGGCAGCCAAGCCCGCAAAGAAGGCCGCCAAGCCAGCAAAGAAGGCAGCCAAGCCAGCCAAGAAGTAAATTTCTTTCGCTACTTGGTATTTGAGCCTACCACAGCTCTAACCCCAACGGCTCTTATCAGAGCCACCCAAACTTCAAGAAAGAATTCAGAGGTTTTGACTCGTACAATTTCTTTTTCTTCTTCTATATTCTTGTCTTTACTGATCTAGATTATGTCTTGTATTGTTGTATTCGTTTTTATCGTCAGTCCTGACTGTTATTTGGATACTGGTTAAAACGATTAATATACAAATACTTGTTTTCCTGAAGTTTTCATTTTTCACTACCTGTCCAAAGAATTTAATTTGAGCAAATTATGCCTGACAGAAAATAAGTGTCACAGATCAGTGCGAAGTTTACAATTTTTACTACCTGTTCATTGTCCAAAGAATTTAATTTGCGCAAAATAATTATGTCTGACAGATAATAGGGTCACAGATCAGTGCGAAATTTACATTTTTCACTACCTGTCCAAAGAATTTTAATTTGCGCAAAATAATCTGACAGAAAATAGGGTCACAGATCAGTGCGAATTGCTCTACTATAGGGGGTAGCTAAATTGAATGACCCGCCAAACAAGTCGGTAAACAAAAGATGAAAATAAAGGTAGTAAACAAGGTCTATGAATCAAAAAGGCGGGCGTGGGGGAAATAAAGCTAGGGGGCACTGGAGTAGAACCGGGTTGGGGTACGGTTGTAAAGATGGGTCGTATCGATTGGTATGACATAAAGCGGGAGAAAGGTACACGTTAAATCCAAGGTGAATCATATGGCACCTGTGCGAGTTGGTAGTACAACGTTTCTAATCCACCTACTAAACCCCTCCCTTATATTAATTAGGCATGTTATAGCTTTCCTATATATAGCATTCGACAATAATTAGCAGAGCCAGGTGCAGAAGTTCGTAAATACAAAATTGTAATATGTATAATCAGATGCAATAAACCTAGAGACCGACTAACGAATAGAAAGTTGTGGTGCCATTTTCTGTAGCACAGGAGCATATGGGGGGGGGGGGGAGTCTAAACTCTGAAAAGCCCTTCCTAATAATGATAGGGAAATATTGTATTGGATTTCGGCTCTTGTACTGCCATATTCTAACAGCATTTCATAATCATAATATACCGACGGTAATATGCACACGTATTAGAAAATTAGAAATGTTCCCCAGTGTAATTAGTTTAAAATAAATTTCTTACATTTCATCTATAATTTAAGGTTCATTCAATACTCCCAGGCACCTATCACCTAAACTTAACCGGACAACTCCTCCCGGACAGCTACCCACAAGAGAACCATCTCTCGGGCAACTACCTCTTGCACGTCGACATGTAGTGGACTGCTACGTGCCCGGCCCCCCCACTCAGTGTTATTTAGGGTACGCATATGCTCGTACCCTCTTTTTGAAAGCACCCCCTATCTGAGGACTGCCAACATTTCCGAACCCCCCTTTCGCGGGCTTTTTGCGGGCTTTTCCTGCCTTGTAGACCCCCCTAAATCAGGAAAAATGCTCAATGTACCCCCCTAAATTCGGAATAATTTCTCAGGAGTCCAAAGAGATGAGAGAAAAAATGAAAAACACCCCCTTTTTAAAGAATTCTCCGGGTGAAAAGTCAAATACTCCCCTTTTTTTACAATTCTCGGGCCGGACTTTGTCGCACGAAAAGTACCCCTTTACCGGACATTTTGGCAACACGCATGCGGTCATTCCGACCTCTGAGTGGGGTGGGGGGGGGGCCGGGGCTACGTGTGACTTCCTTCAAAGTAAGGCACTGTGACTTCATTTTAAGGCACTGCCAGTGCCTTAAATTTTAAAAGGACGTCACACGTAGCAATCCACTATGTCGAAGGGCAAATCTAAAAGTCCCTGATTACCACTCGACAATGACGCCAAAACAAGTACCTACTCCACGGACAACCACGACACACAGCTATTTATGGATAACCCACAGAACATCTATCTCAGACAATCACCCACTTACAACAACTAACGGACAAGTACTACCCAACAACATTACTGTCATTTAAGACAACTAAGCTTTAGGACATTTGCCTTTGACACCTACCCCTGTGACAATTACCCCCCGAACCACTCACCCGGACAAGTCTGCCCGGACAACTACCCCAAAATCACCTTTTAAGATGTTATCCCCGGACATCAACCCCTAGGACATCTACTACCAGGGACAACTACCCAGGCCAATTACCCCTAGTAGGTAGATACTCCGACAAATACCCCGGATATCTATCGCAGCTAGGACTACCTCTGAACAACAACCCTAACGCATTGGATAACTTTCGCTAAGGATAATTACCCCCATAAAATGAGGAACGGTAAACTAATCCACATAAAGAAATAGATTAGATACTAATACAGATAAAACTAACTAACAAAGTTACTTTCTAACTAATGCTATGGTCACATTACCCAAAAGTAGCCCGCTCGGCGGCCGAGCGGCGAGTTTTTAACCAATTCTGCCAGGCGGCTGCCCGGCCACCGAGCGGCGACCGCTCGGGCACCGCTCGTTTTTAGGGCATCGCTCGGTCGCCGCTGAAGTTTTAGCGCGGAGTTAAAATTTGGGCAGCGCCTGCTCATTTTTCACTCGCCGCCCAAAATACGCTCGGTGCCTGGGCGGTCGCCGCCCGGGCACAGACCTAATCGCTGGGCGATGCCTAAATTCCAGCAGCGACCGAGCAGGCTACTGATCGGTCGGTCGCTGCTCTGATTTGTGACCATAGCTTAAATGAATATAATACATATACAATATATACATAGATAAATAAATAAATAAATATAAATATGTAGATAAATAAATTGATATAAATATGTGGATAAATAGATCAATATGAATATATATATCTATATTTTTTAATTTCGGTTTAAAAAGATACATGATTCAAAGGTCCAAGGACCAAAACTGATCTTGTTTACAAGTTATACAATACAGTTATAAATAGAGTAAATATACACTAGTGAGCCAAACGAACAGGTATGACAAGTACAAGATGGTAATAAAGATGAACAAAATAATACATTTCAATTAATACAATACCAAAATAAACTAAGAGAAAGTAGTGGTCAAGATCGTCAAATTACTAAACTGTTATATGGTAATGGTAGCAGATAAACAGACAATAATATATAAATGTTGAGTAACCAAACAATCAAAGAAAAAGGGGGAAAATATATTTTGAAAATAGGCAACGATAAAAGCCTTAAAATATATACAGATAAATAAATCAATATAAATATGTTCGGAGAAGGGCGTAAACTTAGTGTAAAGATAGGTGATTTAAAGCAGTATATCAACAGATCTAAAATTGCGAGCCCCTCTCTTCGTAATACGTTTATTCACCGCGTTGCATGCAAGGGCCTGCAGAACGATTTCTCCGGGGATTAAGACACAGATAATATTAATTCAATATGAAATTGCCAGGCCTAGCTTGCTTGTCTAACAAGATCGGTGCAGACTTTGATCCATTACCTTATCTAAGATCTGATTTATTTATTTTCTCATAAAAAGCACAACATCACGGATCCTAATGAAAAGTAAAATTAAGAATAGTCCTTAGCACAATATAATTATATACACCGATGAAATCATCTTCATCCATACAAGTAATCGAAGTATCTTTCCCATGCGTAATCTCGTTCGATATCCTACAGGACATTTTTCAGATGGGTTATCGTCAAAAACATTTTAGGCTTATTCCTTCTTGAAAGTTAACCAATGCTGTACGGGGATGGGGTATCGAGGGCGTCAGCACCCCCCCCCCCCCCTCTCGAGAATTATACAGTTGCCTAACATTAGGCAACATTAAAATATTCGGGCCGCGAGGTGCCCGTATAATGTAATATTTGTATTCATTTATTATTTGGATGAAGATTTTTTTTTTTTTTTTTGGGGGGGGGGGGTGAGGGGGAAGGGGGTTGTATGAACAATCATTTATTCACGTCACACCACTACGATGTTGTTTTCTGTCATGACAACACCTGCATCAGCTCTTTTCAATCATCTCATTTCCATTGCATCGTTTCATCATTGTCATCACAATCACATCAAGATTAATGGGATATATTCGATGACAATACCAGAAGGGTGTCGGTCACAAGTATCCTCGAAAGAAGATACTGTCACGTGATATAAACTGAAGTTAGCAGACTGAAAAGAACTGCGCGGGTAACACTATTCGTCACCTTTGCATCAACCCTTATAGTCAATAGCGAAGAGTTCGCCAGACACATACGGTATAGCGCTATCATATCAAGCATACCTTTGGCATTTATCTGAAGGTAATTGACCTGTTGTCGAGTGACCAACAGTGTATAGCACCAATGGCGTAGCCAACTGAGGTTAGAGCCGGCGTATATGCCCCCGGGAGAAAGAAAAACAATCAGTAACTGTCTCTGAGTATACAGCACGCGGGGGCTGCCAAAGTACATTTCCTCTCCTAAAGAAGTCCGCCCCCTGTTTATTATAATCATTTGAAACACGCCAATGTGGTTCTATCGGGATCGAGGGCCATATCATCTGATCATAGCGCTGTTACAAACAGCAATGGCGGCACCTGGCTTAAAGATAAACTCGAGTTCTGGTAAAAAAAGAAGATGAATTCTCACAAAATCTAACGAAACTTACACTGAATGTTCAAGATTACAAATAAATGTCATGTGCCAAACAATTTTGGAAGAAAATTTATACTGGCTGAGTAATGAGTATAGAAAGATAAGGAAATCAGGGTAGTACTAGCCCCGACACCATGTGTGTTGTCCCATATACATCTTTCTGTGTCAGTGATTGTTACTTTACCAAGACTCTGCCAAATTTATGATGATTTTGATGACTCCAGAACCTTGCATTACACACCATTACTTACATGCTATATGATCAACTTTTCTGATCCATTTCACACCTTTTCTTTCACAATGCAATCGCATTACCAGAACTCAAGTTTATCTTTAAGCATTGGGATGGAGCAAAATAATGGCATCAGGGATCGACGTGGGGGAGGAGGTATAAA